CTTACCTACGGGAGATCTACCTAAACCAAGAAATAGCTATGATATGGATTCAGCTGCAGGTATGGTTACATGTTGGTGCAAATAAAGTCAATTTACAATATTAACACCGTGCATTTCTTATAATTTAGACACTCAAACTCTTTTTTGAATAACCTTGTAATTCAACGGCATTTACGGTTATATTCAAAAGTTTGAATTATATACGGTGTGCTTCCACGTATGTCAATATGGTTGAGTTAACAAAATGCCGAAATAAAATCGTGCACGAAATCCTTATGTTAGTAGCGAGCCATAACATCCGATGACATTTCACTCCTTCGACTGGTGATATTATGATATTTTGTAAACGCCTAGTGAGTATTGTAGAGCGACTGTGTTTCCTGTTTACCATGAATAAAAGTGATTTGATTGTTAAGCAGAACACGAGCGAGTGAAGTTTAGCACTTGTGCATAAACGATATTAACAAGAATCGCACGAATATCGGCAAACTTTCTGACAATGCATGTAATTTTACTATTAAGTTTTCGTCAAAATCCTCAATAATATTGTATATTTCGTAAAGCGTCGGATTTATGAGTAAAATTCGTAAAATCGGTTCTGGCAATTTTGCAACCGTGTTCAGGTCAGGATTTACCATATTCTTTCCGTGCTCAACTTCATTGCCCTGGACCCAAGCTTTATATCTAAAAGGTGGTTGTTTTTCATTGGTTTCCGTCAACAGATTAGTCTCGCTATATTCAGGATTGAGCAGATTTGTATTTAGAAATTTGGAGTTTTATTGCTGATACTCTTCGTATTTATTTGAACAATGGCACGATTAATAATTGTCTGTATTACATCCGCCAAACTTGGATTCCTTTGACGATATTAATATGGTATACAAAGTGATTAATTCAGCACCATGCACAACAACCTGTGGTAATTATAAATATATTGGCCTTAGGAGTATACGCTAAAATTATTATAGAAAATAACAAATCATGCGATAACTCTGTGTATTGCGTTTTCGACTCAAGCATTGCGCTCTTCATTCAAGCCATCCACTCCTTCTGCGTGTACTGCACTAGTATCGAAAGGGTTATTGCATTCATTATCATAATCACCGTAGGCTGCTTCCTCAACAAATGACTTATTATCCAACAAGTTTCAACATACCCACGACTAGTGCGATAAGAAAAATGAGAGAACTGGCTGGAAATCAAGGCGACGTACGAGGTACAATCTCACTCAATAACGACTTGAACCAATAATAAACAATACTTTTTCTTTCCTAGGTCGACCCGAGCGAGATCAAGAGTTTGATCAGAGAAAACGTCAAATTCGTCAATATCAAAGATATTCCTTCGATTGGAAATGGACTTTCCTCGACCATGAAAGGTGATAGATAATGTCCGACGCTGTCTATGAGTAATAAACAAAATGTTCGGTTGAATGGGTTAGCTAGAACAGTATACAAGACAATCCTTACCGTTGCATAAATCGATCCAGTTTGTCAAGTTCCTCGGCAGCGAACCTTCTAAAATTCGATGGATTACCGTCTTAACATCGTCGTCGCCGAATGCAGGATCAATGGATCCTTAATACATCTTGAAATATGAGGCATGTTCATCTAACGTCCTCTTCAATAATATTGTTATAATAATGTACCGACTACCAATAGCGGCGTAGTGATAGCTAATGATCCAATAAAGATTCTATTCACCTTATCGAAGCGACGATATTAAAGACTACGTGTTTTTTATTTGAGACATCACCTTACAAGTCGTTCTATGCTCCTTACCTCTTAAGGTATCTCCTGAACCATTTCTCTCATGAATTTCAATGACATTATCACATTCGAGTGACGAATTTACCGATATATTATAAACATTGCAAAAAGATATCCATGAAGAATATCGCGTAAACTTCTGACTCAAATTGCATCCCATCTCGATATCCACAAGCCCAAAAATGTCTGAACGTTCGATAAAAGAGAATATCATTGAGGCTATTTGCTATCATAGTAGCATCGTCATCATCACCATATTGATTCCGTTATCGTAAGCGTATCGATTTCCCCAATCGTAAATCATAACAAGACGAAAAGGCACTCACATAAACACATGAAAACTAAGGCTTGTTTCAAAATGTTGATATCTCGTGTAATGTTAACTACCGCATTGGAACCCAGTATTGGACCCAAAACTGTGAGCAAGGCAAGCATCATATAGGTTGTAATAATCTTCGTTTGAAATTATTGACAAATAACTTGCCATGCCGTAGACAGACGATCCATCGTTATTGTTATATCCGCGTTACCATTCAAATATATGACACCTTTTTGCAGATTTGTTGCACAGATATATGGTCGATGATGACACATTCGAATATTCCTCAAAAGCGTGTAGCAATGCAGGTACAACGTCAATTACAATCTCGACCAAGTTTCCGTGAGAGTTATACATAATGCTGCATTTGACTGATTGTTTCTCTAGCTTCGTTACTTGTTGAGACACTAATGGTCTCATGTTTGAAGAAAGGTCTCAAGAAATTCTTCAAAGAGGTGATTTCACGTAATTTAATGGTGATCGTTTGACCCGAGCAGACACGAATCCAAAGTTTCAACGTGCCATTTCATCCAGAGTCTGTTATCTAATCTAGTATTAGGTACTTATTTGAGACTGGACGTATGGAGGCAACTATAATATATGCTTAAATTCGAATTCAGCTTTATTTTGAAAATTACAACACTTCGTCCACGACACTTCAACCAAAGATATCCTTTGAAAGTCTGTCCGGATAACTTGCTTCTGTCGCCGAATCAACATCACTTCCACAATCACTTACCTCACTTGATGAATCATCGCTCAATCCCGTCTCCATTAATTCTGATTCTGTATCAATCAGGTTGAATTCATCTTCTTTAAATTTACGATCAACAATTCTTCTTATCTCGAGACACTTGTTTATGTGCGGCTTTTCTCTTAGTAGTTACCAATAATAAAAATAAATATCTCGACCAAATTCTTTGTTATATGACCATAAAAGAAAGAACATATTAAACACAAATTTCCTGATGCCAACAGGGGGCGAAGCCCCTCATAAATTCTTATCTAGTTTTTATAATAAAAGTCCCTCGCGATAGTGGTTATTATTATCTAACACAATAAGTAGCAGCAACTGTGATTCAAACTTGCTCTTCATAATCACTCAAACAATGTTTCACGATTCCATAGTCTAATAGTAATGACGTGTACGCTTAATAGTAAACACAACAAAAGATAGTATAATATAAAGCACGCTCGTTTATCAACAATATTCGCGTTAATATATGAAATATTAATATGTTTTAAGGATAACTATATTGCCTACAATCAATCATTTTTACACCATTTCGAAATGTCCTAATTTTCAAGTTACGTTCCATAGTGTCTAACTTTTCTTCTGAATATAAACAAACCCAAAAAAGACGTATGGATAGCTTAAATAGAGTTAAAGTTAGAACAATTGAATGCATTTTGCACTATGTCAATGAATAAATAAACAATACTTACTGTTACACGACTGATTATTCTATAATAACGTCATCTTTAGACAAAACGTTAACCACGCATGGTAAAATGTATTCAGCATATTCATTCTCCCTAACTTCAACGTCCGTCTCATATTGTATTTCTTCAGTTAATGTTTTTATTGTTGTCTACAAAACCAAATGTTTATACTCATTATACAATTAAGATTAGACAATACATATTTCGATACTTACCATCATTATAATTGCCGTTGGCTCCCGATAATTCCACAACAAAATGCTGAGTTTGTATTTATTTGGAGGTACTTAGAATATGGGTATTGTAATTGTTACCTAATATATACATTGCCCTACCATAAGTCACCGGATTTCATATTTTTTACTAGTAAAACATATGAAAAGTTTTTTTTTCAAAAATTGCTCCTGCCCATGTGTACTATGTGAATGACAATAGTTTTTGCATAGTTTTAAAGCTAATTAATTGTGCTTTTCGAAAAAAGTTAACAGTAAATTATATATGTGTATATCATCATTATGAAGCTATAGCTTTGTGAAGTGGCAGTCTTTAAATTATGGTATAAAAATATATGATTATATTATATGTACTCTTACTTCCTTGATTCTACAGTTTATAACAAGAATATTAATATATACAATTTACTGTTAATTTTTTTTTTCAAAAAGCACGATTAATTAGCTTCAAACCCATACAAAAACTATTGTTATTCACATAGTACACATGGGCAGGAGAGATTTTTGAAAAAAAAAAAAAGACTTTTACTAGTAAAAAATATGAAATCTGGTGATTTATGGTAGGGCAGTGTATTTGTTTATTAGTTCATATACAAAACAATAGACTGTTGTAATTGATAATTAACCTGTCAAGTCTAGGTCTTAAAGGCGACGTATTCCTCAGTGATTTCCGCTCAATGGTACAAACATTTCCGATCTGTGGTACAGTAAATATTTGGCACACAAGCGACACCGGATTCGACCGCATCGGTGTCAGATATAAATAGAGATATATATGACCCGATATATCCACATCTGGTGTCAAATGTAAAATTATGTTACTAGAGTGTGTCAAAATTCTGCGTAGCCAATCAGACCCCGTTATATCGAAATCCAGTGTCAAAATTAGTGAAACGATAGTTAGACATACACTACCCTACCATAAATCACCGGATTTTTTGTCACGTGGATCAAATGATAATTTTACACAAGGGGGTTTTTT